AATAAAACACAGAAATGTATAGGATGTAGTAAGTCACCTTCTGATAAATAAAACACAGAAATGTATAGGATGTAGTAAGTCACCTTCTGATAAATAAAACACAGAAATGTATAGGATGTAGTAAGTCACCTTCCGATAAATAAAACACAGAAATGCTTTTGTCAATTTAGATTCCAAAGTTTTGTCAATTTAGACTCCAAAGTTTTGTCAATTCAGACTCCAAAGAACGAACTTTACAAACATTCTTAATATCATCTGTGTGTGTCCTACACGTGGACTCCAGTGGCATAGTGGTAAGTCTGCGGACTTATAACCCTAGAAATCAGGTTTCGATACCCGTGATGGGCACAGCACAGATAGATTTAGGTTGGTACGGATCTTCCTTAGGTAAGCTCCATCACAACGTTCTAAAATCTATTTCAAACACCACTTAAGAAAAATTAATTATAAGTAAGAATTAACCCTCAAATTGCGAACCTGTTTCCTTACCGTTCATTCACCGACCGGTAGGGTTCCACATATACTGATGTCACTATACTCAGTGTAAAGAATTAACTATACAATAACAAATGATGTAATCACTCATTTTGTAAGTAAAATACTTGTGAGGTCCCAGGCGTGGTTAAAGACTAAGTGCAAAATTGATACTAATTTTGTGTATGTGATTCGGGTATTATGGGGGGGTGTCACTAACAAAGACATGGATCCATAAAATTTAGAAAAAAAATGTTTTGTTTGTTTGGAATGTCGCGCAAAGCTACACGAGGGCTATCCGCGCTAGACGTCCCTAATTTAGCAGTGAAAGACTAGAGAAACGGCAGCTAGTCATCACCACCCACCGCCAACTCTTGGACTACTATTTTACCAACGAATAGTGTGAGTGACCGTCACTTATAACGCCCCCACAGCTGAAAGGGCTGGTGTGACGGAGATTCGAAGTCGCGACCCTCAGATTGCGAGTCGAGCGCCCTAACCACCTGGTCATGCCGATCCACTTTGTTCTTGAAAGAATTTATTTTTATTCAATAACAATATCCAAATACAAGAGCACGGAAGTGCCGAAGTACCTCCTGACTTAACTTACGGGGAGCTGCGCATGCGTAGTTCCATTTATTATTATTATTATTACGGTGGAGGGGTCGGCTTTGTTCATTATATTTCAGGAACCTCAGTATAAAAACTGTTCCAGCGTCAATGTCCAAATAAGCGCAATTCAAATAACGTGAATAAAAATTCACTCACAATGATTAATATTTTTCGGTCTTGGCAAAACTATTCTACATACACAGTAGGGCTTCGAAAAGTATTGTTGTTCATGTAGTTGGCGTTCCATAGTTGACGAGTCGTTTGTTTTTGGAATTTCGCGCAAAGCTACTCAACGGCTATCTGTTTTCACCGTCCTTAATTTAGAAATGACAAACTCGAGGAAACACTATTTCGCGCAAAGCTACACGCTTCCACGGCTGAAAGGGCGAGCATGTTTGGTTGGACGAGGATTCGAACGCGCAGATTGCGAGTCGAGCGCCTTAACCACCTGGCCATGCCAGGCCAAAAATAATGGGATTGACTCTAACATAATATAACGCCTTCGCGGCTGATAGGGGCGAGCATGTTCGGTGACGGAATTCGGACTCGGAACATTAACAATTTTTGATAAAGAAAAATATTTTTGTATCCAAATTTTGGCAGTTAGTTTAGGGTCTATTTCTACAGTAGCTCTATCTTAGCTTCGTAATTAGTGGATTAAGTAAAGGATCATTACCCAGCTTTACATCCCGCACTTTTCCTAAAAGTTGCCAGAACTAGATAACAGATCATAACCCTGATCACTGAGGCGGACTCGTGATGAACAAATATCCTAGTGTCGACGAAATGAAAGAAGTTAATTATTATTTGGGAACACTTGTTTAGACTGAAAGGTTTCTTGTTCGTAGTCATTTAAAGTTATTTCAGAAGACCACGAAAGTACTTGGATCATGACCATTCTGTTGTCCACATTAAATCTTGCGTTTATAATGTAATAGAAATTACGCAAGTGAAAGTCAACTGGAATCAGTTGTATTGAACGTTAGTGATAATTTACACACCCTATCTATTGTCTACATTAAATCTTGCGTTTATAATATAATAGAAATTACGCAAGTGAAAGTCAACTGGAATCAGTTGTATTGAACGTTAGTGATAATTTACACAGACTTACAAAACCAAATGATATAACGATTTAAAAAATCCTCCCCCCCCCCCCCATCAATATTTTCCGACCGATGATTAAATAAAAACGTACAAAATCGCTTTTAACGATGTACAAAACAAGACCCGGGAGTCTTGTAATAGAGTTTTGTAATAAGTTTGGTTTGGATGTTGTTAAGCGCTAAGTTACACAATGGGTGACATGTGCTCTGCCCATCACGGTTATCGAAACTCGAATTTCAGCGTCGTATGCCTGTAGACTTACCGCTGAGCCACGGGGGTGGGGAGGCGTTTTGCAATAAAACAGTAATCTGAATATTCCTGAATTTAGTTTGTCGAAAACGCCATCGGTCATGAATTTAATTATTAAAAATACCACCAGTTGTACTGAATTTAATTATTAAAAACATAACTAACCTTGAATTTAGTTATAAAAAACACGACTAGTCTTGAAACTCACTTATCTGTCAACTTAGTTATACTGCGCATGTGTGTTTGTTTTATAGAAAAGCCACATCGGGCTATCTGCTGTGTCAACCCAGAGGAATCGAACCCCTGATTGTAGCGTCGTGAATCCGTAAACTTACCGCTGTCCCACCGGGGCACTCAATTACGCTGCTCAGCGTGTTTTGTACGTAATTAATTGGCTGTTTTGTTCAATTTTGCAACTTTACGAGTTAACAGTTTAGCACGTGTCGCTCTCTCTAGCTTCATAGCACACGCGCTATGAAAGAATCCCGCGTAAATGAAACATCCTTCGGTCTTTAATCATGAGATTTTGTGCAGCGAATATTGGGAAAGGATATCACCACAATTTAAAGTTCAGTACCAGTCAACACGAACAGCACCTTATGAGACACATGGTCTTAAAGGTCGGGTTAGAGACTTCTGAGGTTCAGATAAAGCCACATTAATTACGAACTACTGATGAAAGTAAGTATAATCATTCTGTCGCTACTCCAAACAGAGGGATTGACTGCCAGAGACCTAATATTCCTACAGCTAAAAATATGGAGCATACACAGAATCAAATCGCAGCTGGAACACTAGACCTTCCCATATGCAGCCTAGCACGCTAACATTAAGCCACTCTCAGCCTATAAAATTCTGAAAATTGAAATGAAAGAGGTTTGGTAAATACGTTAAAGCTTCAGTTAGTTTACAATAAAAAATACTAAAACAATCTCATAGAATGGTAACGTTTAGGAGACATATCTTTGATGCTAAGAAAGAGATACTGGAGATGATGTCTCACTGTATCTACAACTGTGTCCCCCGCTGGGACAGCTGTAAGTCTCCAGATTTACAAAGCTAAAATCAGGAGTTCGATTCCCCTCGGTGGACACAGCAGAAAAACTGATGTGACTTTGCTATAAGAAAAACACACACACACATCTACAATTGTAAAACCCTTTGTACCACTACCTCCTAAAACGTTCATTTAGATCCTAATTCTTCTCAAAGTAATGGCAGCTTAAACGTTGAGATTATTGATATCAAAAAGCATTCGTGCTTACCATGCAAGAGAACCTTCCAACTCCTGATGGTCTTACAATATACTTATGTATGAATTCAAACACTTTCACGAAATGCAATGTAAAGAATGCTATTGTAATTTAGTAAAGAAAATAAGTCCTGTTAATTAATAAATAAGCAAATATTGTACAACATTATGACCTTCCTCTGCTACTTTGAGGTATAAATAATAGGAAAACAAAACCTTGTTCTGTCTCGAAGAACCTTGATAAGAACTGTAGTGGGTTGATAAAAAAAAAAACAATCGTGTATTACACTTAATATTAACATAATGTATTTTCATTGGCAGATACCTGGTGATGATGGCTCTGTGGACGCAGCACTTCTAGACTATCTTTTTGCTCGCCAGATGGTGCAGCGGTTGAGAAATAACCTGGACATCAGCGATCTCCAGAAAAAACGAACATACTGGAAGCAGTGTGCTTTTAATGCCGTTTCGTGCTTCGGGCGGAAGTAAACTTCTTAGCTAACACCGGAAACGGATGACGTATAATGAAAGACTGGAACTTAAACCCAATTCATCAAGCTCATGATGCTTATCCCATTAAGTTTGATTACCGTTATCTTTTTAACTGAAAATTCAAACGTGCAATAAAGAATTGAAACGATACACTGGTCTGCTTTTCAATGAAATATATAATGTTTCTGTTGGTTAGTGTTTTTTTTATCTAAAAATTTATCTTTCAAAACAATCATGCAATCGTAGCTCACAGAGATGAAACATCAGATTCAACCATCAAGAGACAAAATTATTTTATTTTGATATAATTAGAAAATTAGCCTGGGTAGGCCTAGTAACTATGATTCATGTTCCACGTTCTATTGCAGCACTTTGGGGACTGGGTGAGTTATAAGAGTGACTACCAAATCCTATTACTAGTCGATTAGAGAGTTGGCGGTGGGTTCTGTTAACTAACTGCCTTTCCTCTGGTCTATCAGTTAATAATTGGGGACGGCTATGCACAGATAGCTCTTGTGCAGGTTTGCACAAAGACTCTGAAACAACAAAAACTTTAGTACGTTATCTTTCCAACCGAGCTTCAACTCTTAAATGTAAGGGTTGAGTATACCCACCAATTTAAAAGGTTTAAACACTTATCTTGAGTTATGATAGAATTAATGTAACTATAAATTAGGACAAAACATGCACGCGTCCACGTTGTCAAGATGAGTAAACACAGCAATACGTGAAAGTAACGTTAGTGAAACTTGTTGTATCTATGGGAACAGAATGAATTATTATGTACGTGCAGCAACTCGGTTTTGAATTATTTGTGGCACGATAAGTGTTTC